CATTCTTTTCAGCAACCCGATGCGACAGTGTATTGCACCGATGTGAAAATGTCCCAACTACGTCCTCATCCTCTTCAGAGTCGGTCTCACTATGACAATTAGCTTGCGGAGCCTCTTGCTTTGAACTTGACCCGCCACTTGCTAACTGACAATATGCATTCACCATCCGCTTTTGAGGACACTCCAACACCTGATGAGGTCCTTCACATAAAAAGCACTTTAATTAAGGAGTGGCATCGGTTCGGCCCTTCGTTGCTTTTCCTGTGTTCTAGTTGTTACTGTTGCTGCCGTTAAAATTTCCTTGACGGCTATTATGATAGTTTCCCTGAAAGCCACAAGTGCTTTGATAGGCTCCTTCTCTATTCTGAGAGTAACGCTCTCCCCCATTTAGGTTCGAGCTGGGTATGTAAGGTCTATTACCACCTCCAATTGCTTGATTACTCCCCGAAGGTCGATCTTTTCTAGATTCTGTTTGGTAGTCGTTCAAGCATTCAACGGCTCCCATGACCGTGCTCAAATTTGTAACTTTCTGTCTTTGAAGTTTCGTGCGTGTCCATGGTTTCAACCCTTCCATAAAGGTGAAGAGCTTATCCTTTTTTCGACATATCTCGAATATTCAGCATACCTGAAAAGGATTTCACATACTCCCTGATAGAGCTCGTGTGTTTCAGGTCTCGAAGTGCCCATCGAGTTTGATACTCGACATTTTCCGAGAAAAACTACGATCTGATCGCTTCCTTGAGGAGATCCCAAGAATCTATTCGAACCCTGTTGGCTTGAATGTCAGCATATTTGGTTCGCCACCATAGTTTTGCATCTCCATCCAGATACATGGTAGCTGTGGTTACCTTTCTAGCTTCGTCTTCGATTGAAGCTGCGAGAAAGTACTGTTCCATGTCAAACAAGAAGTTTTCAACTTCTTTTGCATCATGTGCCCCTTCGTAGGTACACGGTTCAGGAATTCTGAGTCTAAGAGCATACTCAGGTACGAGAGCTTGTCCATTGCCCACCACACGTTGGAGTACCCGCAATTTGGAGTACCCGCAATTGAGCTCTCAACGCTTCCATTTTATCTTGCAGATCATGAATGATTGCAGCAGCTTCAGTCATTGCTGGGCAAGCCCTTTGGCTTTCATCCAGTTGGATGTGTAACCCACGAATCTCGTGTTCGGCCATCTTGACTTTTTCCTCGAGACCTTCTAAGGCATAGTACAACCTAGTAGTTGTCTCATCAAGTGCATCCACGCCCTGTTTAGTAGTACCCTTCTTTTGAGGCTCTACCACTTCAGTGGTGTGGGATGTAATTGGATCCATAGCTTTCTTATCGAGGGTCGTGAGTCGCAACTCTGATACCAACTTTCACAGGGTGCCTTTCTTCTTGACACAAAAAGAGACACCGTGCGGCAGTAGTCTGGTCCGCTAAACTATCTTCCACTTTTTCTCGATCGCGTTGGGACAAAAAAAAAAATTTGATTACAATTTTGTAGAAAGCTTACAATAGAGAATTTGAATACATTGAAAGTAAATTAAACATTGATTGATGAAAACTGAACATTACAATTGACGAAAGCAGAAAATTACAATTGCTGGTGCAGAGGGTGGACACCAGTGAGTTTGAAAGATTTTTGAATGACTAATACCCCCTTTAATAGTATTTTGAACAAAAACCTAAGTGACAGGAGTAGACGTTTAAAAGACGAGGAATCATACTAAACGTTTACTAATATCAGAGCTATTTTACAATTTAAATAACTATTACAATGAAAAGAAAATTACAACTCAAATTTGAAGTAATATTTACAATGAGCGGTCGAAGTTGGGCAAGCTACGGCTGCGATAGTGTCAAGGGGCTAAGTAAAGCTGTGGTCCTTGACACTTGGGCTTGTCGATAGGTTCCCTAGTCTTCGTTTGACTAGCTTATGGATTATTATATGTCTCCCTTTCATTTATCGTTATGACAACTTTTTGCATGCATTCGTTATTCTTTGTAAATATTGTTGAAAGGACAACAAAACTATTTATTGATGTCTTTATTTAAGACAATTGTAAAAACTTTTCGAGATCCCTCTCATCCTCTATTAACTAAGGGCCCATTTGAGATTGCTTTTAGATCTTAAATTTCGTATTCTTACAAAACCACAATTGTTTTATGTGTATGGTAAAACTTTAAAAAAAAAATGATTATTGAAGATTGCTTACTATGTAGTAATAGATTTTGACAAGCAGCAAAAATGTAGGTTTTTAATTTTAACTTTTCCAATTATTCATTATATCTATTTTAACCTATATGAACAAAATAAATTTCATTTTTGTCATAGCTTTGTTGGTGTTCTTTATATAGATAATTCCTTTTTAAATAACAACAATGAATACATTGTCTTAGATTGATTAATAGTAAATAATATTTAATGCAAGTAAAAATAAACAATTGTATATAGCGACCTAAAGCTCATATTTCACAAACAATTTATACAGGCTGATATCACCCCCAATTACTATTGACCAAGGAGAGAAACAATCAACCTCTTGATATTAGAAAACCCAATGGATTCTTCCAATGTATCATTTCTAATTCCAATGGAATTCATGAGGGCGAAAAAGGAAAGAGAGGGATGAGGTTTCTCTCGCTTTTGGCAAACATCTAAACGTAACAATTTTATAGTACTTTGAAAAAATCTCAGAACAATGTGCAAAATACTTTCATGTTAGTGTAGAAAAGTATACTATAGTATCATTGAAGCTAAAAGTTCTACATGTTGTGACATTTTATGTTTATGTAAATTAACATTATTCATTTTACATTCTACATTCTTGGCAATGTTGATTTGTATCAGTTCCAAAAATATGGCATCTACTTAATTTCTCGTATGGGAACTCCAGCATTTGTTTTGCACTTTTATAGCCACTCTTCATCTCCTCAGTAACACGAGCAAGTACAGATCTTCAATATTACCACCTGTTTACCTGTTTCATTTGTTCAATTCTTATGATTCATATTGCGCAAAGAATGAGGATAAAATGAAATTTATAGAAGTACCAAGCAGTAACTAATGAAATATCCTCGGTTCAAGAATACACAAGCCGACTACGGTAACACTTAAAATTAGATCCAAACCTCCATTTCCGACAAGAACAAAGCCTCTGATGCAATTGCACTCTATGCCAGAATTTCAGTACAAACTATGTTTTGACAGGGGGAGGACTGAAAATCGGTTCGAGCTGTTCTAGGATTTCCTGGGCATTCCAAAGATAAAAGAGTGACCATCAATTATGCTAGTTACGTTAACCTGTCAAAAACAATGGAGAGATAAAGGTTGAAATCCCAAACATATGTTACGCTATGTTGACCAGCATTACGAATAATATTTTCATTTTCAATTCCAGGCACTTCCACTGGTTGAATTCCTGCCAATCCTAGTGTCAGAAGACTGTTATAGGCAAAGGGCAACATCGAAAATCAATAAGCAAAAGAATGGACAAAAAAAATTCACTTCTTCTTTTGTTTTGATACTTCTATTGACACAGTTAGGCACAAATCTCAACTTCAAAAGCAAGATGTGATCTACCTATCAATTTCACAATCCTAATATTTTCACAGTAGATTTAAGACTTGCATACTTGGCACGAAACGCAATTCCAAGTATCCAATCGTTGGTAGAATATGCATTCACAAACCTTCCAGCCACCACCTGCATAATAGAGAATGTTAAACATATGCAATAACAGTAACTGATGCATATGTGCCTATTATTGATACAATATCAATATTTGTGAATATGAATGCAGAAGGTAAAGCAACAATCCCTGCCGAGTAGCTTCCCAGTTCATTTCTTTAATTGCAATGGGTGCTCCAAGTAGAACAACTCTTTCCACAAGTCCAGCTGACAAAAAATAGGGGAGTGAATCAGTATTTTATAATACAGAACTTAAAAGAGATTTTCTTTTGGAGGTCGAGTTCCCACCTAAAAAGTCAAGTTGTTTGAAGGACGACGACATCCGGGCAACGTTTATTTTTCTCAAAGGCTTAGCACATGATTTTATTAATTAACTATTAGCAATGGGAGTCCGTAAATCTTAATACTATGACATGTGCCTATTCTAAGGCCATACTGAATCAACATTTTATCTAAAATCTAAGTTGTCTAAAAGGGCATGATTTACTATTTGAAACCTTCAACTGGGGGGTGGGATTGGAAGGAATGTTGTTTATTATAAGTCATCAGAATAATAGGACCCAGGATCATATATGAAAAGAAGTTAAATTTGCAATGCAGATAGAATTGATATCCATCCTGTAGAAATTTCCAGAATCATTTGTTTGGATTCTTAAATCTGGAGGTACTTTTTTGTTTAGCTTATACTCAGGTTTGAAGTTTTAACATTGAGAGACAAAACTATGAGATATTTAAGTACAAAGCTAGCAATTAGGTAATAAGGTAAAATCCCATGTCATGTACTAAATTGTAATTAAACGGCAGAAATAGATCAATCATAGCATGTCATTCTATCAAAAAACTTCGAGCCATCACCCGTTCTATGTTTATGGTAGCTTGTTGAAGGAACTGCACAGTACTGGTACAGTACTTCTCTAATAATTCTTAAGTGTGTTAGTCCATGCCGGCAGGTTCTAGTTATCCAATCCTCAGAAGAGTAGTGCTACCTGTACAGGCCCTGTGAAAACAGGGGGGTGGATAATTTTTTTTTTTTTTTTAAATAATCCCCCACCCAGCATGTGAGAGATTTGTCCCCTGTGAACAATAGGCAATTTCCTCATTCTTTTGTTCAAAGTGTTAGATGGCTGACGCTGATATCACCCCCAATTACTATTGACCAAGGAGAGAAACAATCAACCTCTTGATATTAGAAAACCCAATGGATTCTTCCAATGTATCATTTCTAATTCCAATGGAATTCATGAGGGCGAAAAAGGAAAGAGAGGGATGAGGTTTCTCTCGCTTTTGGCAAACATCTAAACGTAACAATTTTATAGTACTTTGAAAAAATCTCAGAACAATGTGCAAAATACTTTCATGTTAGTGTAGAAAAGTATACTATAGTATCATTGAAGCTAAAAGTTCTACATGTTGTGACATTTTATGTTTATGTAAATTAACATTATTCATTTTACATTCTACATTCTTGGCAATGTTGATTTGTATCAGTTCCAAAAATATGGCATCTACTTAATTTCTCGTATGGGAACTCCAGCATTTGTTTTGCACTTTTATAGCCACTCTTCATCTCCTCAGTAACACGAGCAAGTACAGATCTTCAATATTACCACCTGTTTACCTGTTTCATTTGTTCAATTCTTATGATTCATATTGCGCAAAGAATGAGGATAAAATGAAATTTATAGAAGTACCAAGCAGTAACTAATGAAATATCCTCGGTTCAAGAATACACAAGCCGACTACGGTAACACTTAAAATTAGATCCAAACCTCCATTTCCGACAAGAACAAAGCCTCTGATGCAATTGCACTCTATGCCAGAATTTCAGTACAAACTATGTTTTGACAGGGGGAGGACTGAAAATCGGTTCGAGCTGTTCTAGGATTTCCTGGGCATTCCAAAGATAAAAGAGTGACCATCAATTATGCTAGTTACGTTAACCTGTCAAAAACAATGGAGAGATAAAGGTTGAAATCCCAAACATATGTTACGCTATGTTGACCAGCATTACGAATAATATTTTCATTTTCAATTCCAGGCACTTCCACTGGTTGAATTCCTGCCAATCCTAGTGTCAGAAGACTGTTATAGGCAAAGGGCAACATCGAAAATCAATAAGCAAAAGAATGGACAAAAAAAATTCACTTCTTCTTTTGTTTTGATACTTCTATTGACACAGTTAGGCACAAATCTCAACTTCAAAAGCAAGATGTGATCTACCTATCAATTTCACAATCCTAATATTTTCACAGTAGATTTAAGACTTGCATACTTGGCACGAAACGCAATTCCAAGTATCCAATCGTTGGTAGAATATGCATTCACAAACCTTCCAGCCACCACCTGCATAATAGAGAATGTTAAACATATGCAATAACAGTAACTGATGCATATGTGCCTATTATTGATACAATATCAATATTTGTGAATATGAATGCAGAAGGTAAAGCAACAATCCCTGCCGAGTAGCTTCCCAGTTCATTTCTTTAATTGCAATGGGTGCTCCAAGTAGAACAACTCTTTCCACAAGTCCAGCTGACAAAAAATAGGGGAGTGAATCAGTATTTTATAATACAGAACTTAAAAGAGATTTTCTTTTGGAGGTCGAGTTCCCACCTAAAAAGTCAAGTTGTTTGAAGGACGACGACATCCGGGCAACGTTTATTTTTCTCAAAGGCTTAGCACATGATTTTATTAATTAACTATTAGCAATGGGAGTCCGTAAATCTTAATACTATGACATGTGCCTATTCTAAGGCCATACTGAATCAACATTTTATCTAAAATCTAAGTTGTCTAAAAGGGCATGATTTACTATTTGAAACCTTCAACTGGGGGGTGGGATTGGAAGGAATGTTGTTTATTATAAGTCATCAGAATAATAGGACCCAGGATCATATATGAAAAGAAGTTAAATTTGCAATGCAGATAGAATTGATATCCATCCTGTAGAAATTTCCAGAATCATTTGTTTGGATTCTTAAATCTGGAGGTACTTTTTTGTTTAGCTTATACTCAGGTTTGAAGTTTTAACATTGAGAGACAAAACTATGAGATATTTAAGTACAAAGCTAGCAATTAGGTAATAAGGTAAAATCCCATGTCATGTACTAAATTGTAATTAAACGGCAGAAATAGATCAATCATAGCATGTCATTCTATCAAAAAACTTCGAGCCATCACCCGTTCTATGTTTATGGTAGCTTGTTGAAGGAACTGCACAGTACTGGTACAGTACTTCTCTAATAATTCTTAAGTGTGTTAGTCCATGCCGGCAGGTTCTAGTTATCCAATCCTCAGAAGAGTAGTGCTACCTGTACAGGCCCTGTGAAAACAGGGGGGTGGATAATTTTTTTTTTTTTTTTAAATAATCCCCCACCCAGCATGTGAGAGATTTGTCCCCTGTGAACAATAGGCAATTTCCTCATTCTTTTGTTCAAAGTGTTAGATGGCTGACATTGGCACTAAAGCCTTTACATTAAGGTCTTTGTACTTAGATGGGATGTTAGTGATTTGAGTGGAAAATTGGAAACACCTTTACCCGCATCAGTTAGATGGAATGTGAACCATTTCTGAGGAGGAAATTGCCTGCTGTATAGGCCCCTCACATGTTGGGTGGGGGATTATTTTAAAAAAAATAAAATTAGCCACCCCTCTGTATTGTGTGTGGCCTGTACAAGCAGCATTGCTCAAAGAATGAAACAATAGATGCTTGTTTTAAGCATAAATGATAGACTATTGATAGATCAAATAAGGGACACATACCATGCCAAACATAGATACACTCTTAAGTGTATCTACCATCTTGTCTAATTTGGCGTATTGTAAATGAGCATGTGGCACATTAAAAAAATATAAATAGATGAATATGTTTCACCTTTCTTTATAACTTTTTCTAGTCTTTAATTTTAGGATGGAGCAAATAAACTGTGCCATAGATTAGTGGGTCAGCTTAATGTGTTACCACTATTTTCACTTTCAGGCAAAATCTGAAGCAGCTGAAAATAACTCTTGCACCAAGTGAGAAACCTACGAGTGTCACAGGCCTGCAAATTTTGATTGAACAACCAGAAATGAAAATCGGAGGAACAGTAAACTCTGACTTCGAATGTAATTAAATAAGAATAAGCACAATTTCCTCTTTTCCACTGGCGTACCTATGTCCTTGCAACCCCTTTAACAATACTTCAGCAAGCAGTTTTCCAGCCTTATCAGATCTATACAAAATAGAATCAAATAAGATTACTCTAAACATGGACGTCACATTATAAGAAAGAGACAATAGTCCTTGCTACACGTCATACAGCTGCAACACAAAAAAACAAAAAATTTCAGACATTTTCAGAAAATGCTTTGCCTACCCACGCCCCTAAAGAAAAATGTTATCAGAGAGCCTGCAAATTTTGATTGAACAACCAGAAATGAAAATCGGAGGAACAGTAAACTCTGACTTCGAATGTAATTAAATAAGAATAATCACAATTTCCTCTTTTCCACTGGCGTACCTATGTCCTTGCAACCCCTTTAACAATACTTCAGCAAGCAGTTTTCCAGCCTTATCAGATCTATACAAAATAGAATCAAATAAGATTACTCTAAACATGGACATCACATTATAAGAAAGAGACAATAGTCCTTGCTACACGTCATACAGCTGCAACACAAAAAAACAAAAAATTTCAGACATTTTCAGAAAATGCTTTGCCTACCCACGCCCCTAAAGAAAAATGTTATCAGAGTAGATAACTGAAAGTGTCAAATCGTTTCTCAACTGACAATTTAGGTTTTATTGTTCAATATCTTAGATCCAGCAGATCTAGGTACATATGTCCTACCAGCACTAACATTCAGTTTCAATTTTTGAACAGCTTATCTCCCTTCTCGACATTGGTATCTTATTGATATCAAGTGACTAGGAAAACCTGTCCACAGAAATTGCCCATATGCTATCAATAAAGTCAGTAAGAGTAAGTAATGTAGTTGGCCCAGCAAAGGCTGTTACAAGCATGCCTAGTACAGTCATCATGGCACATTGCTTCATCATTTCCGTGGCAATTTCTGCAGCAAATAGTCATGTTTATGTCATTCCACATTCCAGTGGAGGTAGCTAGTTAATGCATTATATTCAAATACAAGGACAAAATCTCTTACTTGAAGTAAGCCAGTCTTGAATTCCTGTGCTTATAGAAATTAGATTCTTAGACTACCACTGCAGTGTATACCTAAGAAATATAAAGAAATAACAGCGTCATAAAACATTCAGAAGAATACAATTCCGTAGCATTATTGACAGTGAAATCATGAAGCCAGGGAACTGTAATCCGTCAATTGTTCAATTATACATTTGGTAAGGAGACATGCAACATCATAGCCAAGGAATTTCATGGAAAAATTTTTAAAAATTCAAAAGAATAATATGATAGTGTTAACTTCACTTTCTTTGCCCGACTACCATGGCAGGCCAGACCTCAACAATGGAGGATATCATAGCATTGATATTATCAGTTGTAGCACTAAAATATGTAGGAAAAGACCTCAACAAGAGAAGGTATCAAGCCAGACCTCTCCAAGTTATCATGTTGTCTTTCCTAAGGTCTTACAAAATCGTCCTCCTCAAAAGCAAATCCGGATAACAAGATCTCAACTGGTAGCCGCTGACGAAGTAGGCTTAAAATGAGGATATACAAAAAATGCAAGTGCCCACAAACAAACACACGTTCCACTTCATAAGAAGCCGAAAATAAAATAGTGCAGAAATTTCTACCTGGACTGTAATATCCAATTAAACAAATTAAAAAAGCTACCAGAGATCAAAAGGTATTAAAATGGAGTTGAGATCTGCTGTTCATTTTTGCTGTCCACCCAATTACAAATTGACACATCAAGAAAAAATAAAATTGATACTTAGGTTGGAAAATTAAAATTGATGGCAACTTTAATTTTCCATGATGTGTCAATTTACAAATGGATGGACAGCAGAAATAGACAGTAGATCTCAATTCATGAAAATGTATCAAATCTCTTTTCCATTTTCTATTTAGGCAAAGCTTTAAAACTCACTCCTTGGTTATGATTTTCTCCTATCGCTTTGAAGTCAAATTCATCAACATCTCCAATTCTCCTAGCCATTTTACTCCCTGTAAGTCCAGCTCCAGCAGCTTGGTCGATTGAAATATCAGAGAGAAATATCAGATTGGATTAAACAACATAAAAATCTGATGTTTATTCAGTTGGATTGAGGTCATTTAAATTGTCATTTTATGGCATAAAGAGCATAGCAGCAGTAATATCTGTCACAAATTTTATATTAAGATACTTAACAAGAAAAAAATTCAGACAGATATTTTGCTATCCTACCAATTCATCTGCGTTCTCACCACCAAAAGATGTGGCAACTGCAACAGAACCTGCAACACTTCCTACCGCAGTGGCAACAGCAACAAACCCACTTGCTCCAATCACTGGGACTATAGTTCCTAAAGTGGGTGCTAAAGCACCAAACCCTGCAGCAATAGCTGGAGCAGCTAAACCTGATGTAAAGAACATGTGAAAGAGTAAATATGTATATTTCATAAAAACTTGTTTGCTTTGACCAAAAAAAACTGAGCTTTTTCTTGGAGTATGTCCAAATGCACAAACAATCCAGGAAGGTGAAAGGGACCATACCGCCAGTAATTGCCATTAAGGCTCCTCCCGTTAATGCAGCAGCACCTATGGTACCTCCATGTTTCCAATTGGCCCATGAGCCTTTTGTAGATTGGGTTCCTTTCTCTGATTCTTCCTCTTTTATTAGATCCATTGCAGAACAAACAACCATGGTTTCCATGGCTTCCTGAGAAGATATAATTGCTTGAGAAGACAAATGACAAGATGCAAAACTGATCCAAAATCATATGACTATAGAAGCTTACAAAAAATTCTAAGTTGGGATCATCTTCTCA